CTGAGACTCGCATCACCATACTTCTGCTGCGGAATGTGTGAGAAGGCATCTAAGCTGACCTCAATAATTTTATAGTTTGAGGCTTTCAGGAGCTTTTTAGTGGTAATTTCGTGTCCCACTTGAATGTTCTACAGGTATGGTAACCCAAAATAACATTTGCATCAGTTTTATTATAGAGGTGAACAGTGCACACAAGACTGGCCCAGTTCTGCCAAAGACTCCCCAAAGACTGCGCAAACAAGATAACAAGACAGATATCACAGGGCACTTTTCCCCACACTCGCTGTGACAAACAGAGCACTGTGCAGAAAAACTTTGTCCATATAAGTGACACTATATACTGTATATGTAGCTCAAACATTGGGCGGTGCTGTGATGTTCCACATATAAAGTCATCACAGTTTTTACAAAAAGCCAAAGCTTCAAGGTCATTGAATAGGCATTGTATTAGATTTATCCCATGGTGCAGCAATCCGTGCTTTGCTAGCTGTAGCAAGAATGCTGATTTTGACTACACTACCGATATAAGCAGCATGGTCCACTGGAACAAACACCATATTCCTAGCACCAAGCAAGGCTTTCTATGTGTTGAATTTGTCATAGCATCAATTATACATTTCTGTATGTTTGATATCAATTCACCAATAGCTTAAACTGCATGACACTTGTATAATGGTGCCAACCAAAGAACTGACATTTGTGGGTGGAGTTAAGATAACACTGACACGATCTACTGTCAAATAACTCCAACACTGAACAACATTTTACACTGGCTGTTTTCAAAATACTCTTTGGGAATTGAAATCAAATGTTTAACTGTGAAATTTCAACATTCCAGTTTTTGCTGTATGGGTGACATGTTTCTTCCTCATAGTAAACATCTTTTTTTTTTCCAAAGAAGAACTTCAAGGGCTCAGAACTTTATATAGACTCTGAAGAAAGAAAGTCAACTGCCCATGCGTTTGTATATGCACACTGAGAGCCACTGTACTGAAAGTCAAATTCCTTGTGTGCCCAACACACCTGGCCCATAAAGCTGATTCTGGTTCTAATGGGTTTATTAGCAGTTTTAATTATTTACTGATGCTCAATAGACCAGCTATAAGTCATACACAAGAACAACCTTCAGGCCCCAAGATGTGTAAAAGCACTTACCCTTTACATCCTCTTGCAGTTGTCATTCAGGAAACCCCCTCACATGCCTCACTTGACTTTCTGCAGGGCATTTGAACTAAAATTCTGAACCGATTGTTTATTATCATGTTAGAGCTACAGATCCATGCAACATGTGTGGCATTTGGACAGCTGTATTACAAAATGGCCTACCCTTCTATAAAAGGATCTTGAGTTAAAAAAAAAAAATCAAAGAACTGAGCAAACAGAAATGTCAGTTGCACTTGTATGCATAAGGTTAAGGTGCCTTACATTTCTTCTCCATACCATCCTCTCATTTAGCCTTATATTTTTAAATTATATATTTCTACTTTCTCTAATCCACTGGTTAGAATGGTACACTAACATCAGTGCTGAAAATCAGTTTATGTGTAACATCTGCAGTGTGAGGCAGGGATCTGCCCGCCGTAGTTCTGCAGTAAATCCTGTTAAGATTGCCACCTTGACCAAGTGGACTGTATCAGTGAGAAAATAAAAACACTGGATATTCATATTAACACAACCACAACAAACTCAGAAACTTGAAAAAGTGTATTTACAAATGATATAACCTATTGTATGATCAGCATAATGCTATCCATCATAGATTAGAATTGATTTATTCATCCCTGACATTACATTTATTCCTGCAGTTTTACCGGAATTTATCTTAGGAGTAGTTTATGGTATTGCAACACACACTGACATGAATAACACAACAAAGAGAGGATTTTGGAAGCCTAGTGGCCATTTCTTCTACACCGATACAACATACAGTGATACTGTACTGTACAGTGATTATTTAGCAGATTAATATATGACAAGAACAGTTAAATATATGCTCCAAACCAAAAATGTAAATATTTTTAAAACAAAATTTCCTAATCTAAGATTTTTATGTAGCAGACCGTTCATTTTGCATGTTCCATTTTCTTCAGTTTCCTTTGCCAGTGCTGTCAGTCAGTTACACATGGGGACAGAAGGAGGCCATTTCATATAATCCAAGCCCTGTCATTTCTGCTCACTTGATAATGCAGCGTCTAACAGAATAGGGGTGGACATTCTTCTGATGGGAACAAAACCTTTAATCTCAATCTTACACATTTTATAGACAGTCAGGGAGACTCCAGAATAAACAGCATAATGAACATTTTATTCTTCACTCTTTCAGTCTGGTGTTTTATAAATAACCCTTCATAACCCCACATATGCTTATATCTCTCTATATATACAACACCAGGCTTAAACTATTCTTAGATGATTCCACTGATCTCTGAGATTTTTGCTGTCATTATCACATATTTATTGGCTAATTATGTGACTTTCCACAATGTATACTATATGTCTTACAATTTACCACCTTTCATTTGTATTAACAGGGCAATCCTAGTATTTAAATTAAGGGAAAAACAGAATAATCTCTCATATAGGACAAGGACTCAGTAAAATGCAGGTGTTTGTTATACTTAAAAAAATGGAGCAGTGTCAAACCACCACAGTTTTGTGTTCTTGCTTAATAACATCCTTTCTTCACAGAAGCCGCTTTGTGTTTTAGCCTCCTCCCACCTCAGGTTTACACAGTGCAGTGACAGTTTAATCTGGAGACTCATTTCAGTTTGCAAAGCTAAATTTAATCGGTGGGTCATCAGAATAAATGGGACTTTCCTTTTGACTGTAGCAACATAATTATGCCGCTTGTATGATAAAAGATAAAAGAAGTGAAACTGAAAAGGGAATAAAAAGGTATAGAAACAAACAAAATCCAAACAGCTACACAAATTAAGGTGGCAAACAATGTGTGGCTCTTTATTACTTCAATAGCTTATGCAGAAAAACAACTTCTTGAAACCAGATAGAGAAACTCGGACTTGTTCTAGACTCATAAATAGGGGGATGCTGGGAGTACAAAAGTGGGAAGGGAGAAACAAAGCTGAGATAATTTGAAAAAAAGATCACAAAGAAATGTCTTATGCAGTGAAGCAACCTGTCCTGTGTATATGCGCAGCAACAGACATAAACAAGTATTCTTCATATTCCCTGCTTTGAACTGCTAGCTATAACGGATATGATGAAATCCTCTGCACACTGATACTACTAGTATAATGGCTTCAAATACAAAAGTTTCTTGCTAGTTACAGTGTGTCCAGCCAGCTGTACTAATTATACACATCTAATAAACTAACAACTATGTTTTTATAACTGACTTCATTGCAGTTACAAAAAAAGCCAAACCGATCCACACTTTATAAAAGACATATGAAACACATTTAATCAGACCAAAATAAATAGTCACTTGCATTGAGTGTTGAGTCCTTTGGTAGCCAGAAAATCAATGTGGAAATGCCTTGTGTTTACTGATCTAATGCAGGTAAAATACCACATAGGAAACATTTATTTTATATAGGGAACAATCCTCCTCCAAGGCCAGCAAAACGTGATCAGTCACATGACATGTAGAATCTTATCTGATCAAGCTTTAACAGAAAAGATGTGCAGATTAATCAGATGTTAATCAGCAATTTCCAAGTAGCTTCACTAACCTAAGATGATTGCCTCCCTCTAAACTGACACTTTGATAACAGAATCATTAAGGGACATTGCAATGGCCACAACAATGTTTCAGACCTGTAAATCCCACTCAGATCCAAAAACTCTGAGAATTGTGATAGAAATTAGATTGAATCAAGTATAAATCAAGTGCTATATTGCAGTGGAGATCTCTGGTTTCTGTATGCACTGAGGCCTTTTGTAAAAGTTTATAATTTAAGACCACAAAAGACAGATCTCATGTTCTTGACTTTACTGTGACATTTCCATATTTCCATAACAGAACTCAGTTGAGAGACACAGAAACTGGCTATGGCAGGACCAATACAAAACAAAAGCTTAATGTGGTAAAACCATGTTGACACTGAGCCAAGCTGAATAACAGAGGAGGCCATGCGGTGCAAAGCCAACAAAATCAAGATTTTTTTTTATCTGAACAAAAAGCTACACTATTTATATTAGATTCTTTGCAAAAGAATAAATTCATGTAAATTATTTAAATTTTCAGTCATGTTAACAAACATGTAGCTAAGTCAGCAATTGCCAAAAGACGGTGATCCAGTGCAGCCTATTATATACTGTACACTAACTACAGAGCTGTTTGGACATGGTGGTCAATACGTCTTGTGGTCATTGAAATTATCTTATACTTCCACCAATGGCATCAAACTACAGAAATTATATTCAGAAACTCAAAACTTTATTTCAGTGCATCTACGTTGCTGCCTTGCCACCTAATACTGACACTTGAAAAGTCCCAGTTTCACTTGATGTTGCAGAGAAAGTAGTTAGTGCACAATTAACTTGATTAACAATGAGAATGAACCATTTGTTATTTTATCCCAAATCACAAACCAGCACATTTTCAGTTGGTAGGTAAACTTTAATCTTTGCCATTTGTCTATTTAATTTAGAAATAAATGAAAGGTAAATGTAAATGTATAGCCGCCATGTGCAACTTCTTGAAACAACAGATTTTGTGCATGTGAATGGATATTACCAAGCATAAATCCACCATTATTGTAACATTGATTTCTTAATGTTTTTGGGGTACATGGTGATGAGCTTGACTGTAGCAAACATTAAAAGATCATAGAAAACGAATCCTTCATCCTGCTGCAACGTTTGTGAACAGTGTGAACTCCTGATTCCTCAGCCTGATGCTACTGTAGCCGAACCTCCTGAGGTGGGAACTTGACCAACTGAGAGTGAGGAAGCTGAGATAAAGAATTCATTCTAAAATAAAATGTAATGTTTCATACTGAGAGAATTAACAGTGATCGGGCATTTAAAGAAAACAAACCACACCATTTTCACAGATATGTTTTATTTGTCAAACTGAAAGAGCTTTTGTTTGAAGCAACATCTTTTTTTTTACTGTACATAGTTTATCACTCTCCTCTGCAGACTCAAACCTAACCAGCATTATAATAGGTAACGTTTCTATATAGTGATTGACACTTATGGCTGAGGAGGTAAGAAATAATATGTCAACAGCTGACACCGAAATACAAAGACATGATGGCTTTCCACTTTGCTGCCTGTGAGATGAAGTTTTACAGTGCACAAGACAATGGTGAGTACAAAGTAAAGGCCATTAGACTGTTAAGATATGCAAGAAAATAATGTGCCTGTGGACATGTCTGTTATACTGCACTATTCAGACTCGTACATCATGCAAACTTCCTCAAAGATTTGTAGCGGGCCTACTCTGTGATAAGAGCTCATAGGAAGCTAACTACTAAGATCAGTCAGGGCAGATGTTGGCCAAGATATACAGTAGCTCTCTGGGGATAAGCAATTGAAAAATCAAAATGGGGGGTAGGGAGTTTAAAACAAATGGTTTGTGAGTAATGATCTGATAATGCTTTATATATCTCCATGAACATAAGAAATTCACACAATGATTCACACCAATAACAGTTTTCACATACAGTCTTTTAGTGTATCTACACCAAAATACAAACTTGTGTTCAGCAATAACTTCACTAAGATTTTCCAAGATATCTCACTTTAGACATTTCAAGGTCCTTTTGGCGTTCTCTATTATATGTTTTATATCATATTTAAACCAGACTGCACTTAGATGTACTCAGTTCCACTTTTCCAGATAACAATCAAAATGTTTGTTTTGTTTTCAGACATCATACGGTTACTTGTCACCAACAAGGTACATGTTGATGGCTTGACAGTGGGAAACACCCTTGTACATAACAACATAAAATGAGTTACTTGGATGGTGATAGCTCTTGATGTTTTCTTGCTGTGCTTTTCAATTCATTTCAAATGTAGATTTAAGTCCAAAAATGTTTGATTCCGATGCATTTTTATTCATTAAATATAAAGTGGCACTCTTGTATTTCCAATCTAGTCAGCAGACCAAAATTGGAAAGGTTGATGCATTAAATTAAATAAGGTTTTCCTGTAAATGTTGTACTTTTTCTTTTGAGCTGTGCTGCAATAAGAACTGCATCATATTCCTACAATATGAAATGAGTAGGTCAGTAAGTGGTTGAAAGCTGACAAGTCAAACATGAAGCAGAAAAGTGGACAAGGCCCTTCAGCTCTTACTGTAGCACTTGAGAGCTTTGGGAAAGCTAGTCAGGAGTGAAAACCACTAGAGTAATCCAGGTCTATTTTTAAGTCTGGCAGAACGGCCTGTAAGGTTTGACTCTGAAGCAGTACCTCGGGTTATTGTTCACTTCCATTTCTTTAACCAGCTAAGCATCGCTGTTCATTTACTGCAGCTAACAGAAAAACCCATACAGTGAAAACCACTTTAATAGAATGTTATGATGTGACTGACATAACAGCACCTTTATCCATGTAACATTGTGTGTAAATAATTTCAGCACCCTGAAGCCATTTGAACATGCAGAGAGCTGCTGTCATGTCCTGCGAAAATACTGACACCTTCTTTAATAATTTTTTACTATATTAATTTAATCCAGTATGATAATGAATGAAAAATGAAAATAAAGACACTGTCCATACTTAATTTAGAGCTTTGTACTGTTACCACAGTTCATCATCATTGTAGATTTAAGATAATGATGTAACAGTGTAATTTTCTACGTCTGCTGTATTTTTTAAAGAAAGAACTTAATTAATGATTTATCCTGTTCAGTGGATTTAATAAAGTAAAACTGCCTTAAAATAATTAATTTAAAGCAGTTTTACTTTCTTTAACCCCTATGACAGGATACATCATTGTTAATTAATTGCTTTATTTTAAAAAGATAGCAGATAGAGGCATGATTTAAATAATTGCTCTCATCTGATGTTTAAATAATAATACATGTAAATCTTTAAATGGGTGGGCAATTATACATTTGTGTGTTGTGAATGACATCTATCCTGAGCTTTTTAAATGATTAAACTTAGATCTCCAAGACAACACAAATACATTAAATGCTTCAGACAAAAAAAAAAGCTCAATAAATACAGAAACAAGCATGGTAAATACAAAAAAAGAACAAGCACAAACAATAATTCCAAATATTTTAGAAAAAGTGTAGGCACAAATAAAAAATGGAAACGCTTTATGAAAGGATTAAGTCATTTCAACTAGAGACAGCCGATAAACCTCTACCAGTGCGGCAGAACCACTTTTCACTGCAGTGCTTGTTGGTCTCACATATCAGTAATCTTCAACAAGCGTTTGCAGTGTATTGTAATGTTTCAGAACTATTTAAATATGCACATAAAAATAGGTTCCTAAATCAAAGCGATTTGCTCTCAGGGCTGGAGGTTTTAAATGATCTGTCATAATATACATGTTTAATTCACCCACCATGCAATTTCTTAGTCTTTTACATATAATACAAGATGGATGTGTTAATGCCAGTGTTCGTTAGGATAAAACTGTGGTTTGAGGACGTGTAGCAATCAAAGTAAAATATATATTCAGTAATGCGATAACATGTGATCTCTACGTGGCATGTCTGGACTGTTTAGTTATGGTATGACGTTGTTGGTTAATCATGTTCAATGAGGAATGGCAGAACGATTTTCCATCTTTGTTAAAAAGTGATATTGTACAATGGCTTCCATGGCAACAAGTTAAAACCACAGAGAAGCCCCATTTCTGACTCCACACCTCACCCAACCCCTCCCATATATATTACAGATGTTCAGTCCTAACAGGATGGCAAATCTGGAAGAGAATAAAAAGATACAGATCAAACTTGAGAGAGAAAACTAAAAGACAAAAGTGGACCAGGGGCAGGTTTTAAATTATTGTACAAAAAACCAAAACAAACAAACAAATAAAAAAAAAAAAAAAAAAAACAGTGACCCACACAACCAAATACTTATTCTTGAAAAATCCATTGGAAATCAATTTCTTTTTACAAGCTGCAGAGTTTATTTTTGAAATACTGGGTGAGATACTCCAGTACGCCAAGTGACAGGGGGATGATGACAAGAAAGATGGAGAGACTTCACTCTTCCTCTGTGCACCCAAGTATTTCTACACGCAAAGTGATCCTGCCATACCATGACCAGGGAAGGATCCGGATGAGCCGAGCGTAGATGGGTGGGTCTATCACATTTTTTCTGTGCGTGTCATTGTCAAAGTTCCCTTGGAATACCTGTAAAAACAGCAGCAAGGAGACATTTTGAACCTGTTTACTTTTCACACAACTAAAATGTAATTTAGAGTCAAATCTTTGTCAGTTTGACTCAGTTTTCTGTACAAAAACAAACCACCATGAAAGCCCATTAACTCATTCAATGGATTTTATGACTCAGAAATCATAACCAAATGCTTCTGAGGAAAAAGTATTTTCAGTGAGAAACCACAAAAGCCAAACCCGGTGGCGTTTCACTGGCAGGCAAGCACAGAACATTCCTGATGCATTTCTTGCCTGATTTCTCCAGACTGTTACCTTGAAGGCTTCATGCCTGAACAGGTACTGAATGGAGTGCAGCCTATAGAGTTTCAGTGCAAACACTAACAATAACTGTCAGTCCTATTCTCTGTCCTCTTCCTGTTCTTTGGTTTTCTTTTATGAGCACATCCACAGCTAAGCTATGAAACAACTGTTCAAGGGTTAACCAGCTGCCACATACAAACAGGGATAATTGTTAGACTGGGACGTGCTCTTTTGTTGATTAGTAGAAGATTCATGCTGGTGTGTGCTTAATCGACAGTACAATGAAGTATATGAAAAGGAATGTATCTACAGGGATTGCTTCATTGAAGGATATGATCATTTCAATTAAACAGACATGATTATGCCTGCATAATTGGGATATAATGGAATTCACTGTGGTGTGGAATGGAAAGTTAGTGGGCTAAATCCAGGCAGGTGCTGGAGATGGAGGTTGACGAAAGCTTGAGCTAATTCCCTTACAAATAATAATAGATGCTGATTTGAGATTTAGACAGTGAAAACATGATTTCCAAGGTTTTCATTTTAACAAGTGCTACAGCAATGTCCATGCACCAAATATCACATGAATGATTTTTGGAGTAGAAGCATTTAGACTTTGTGTGGTTGGATAAATGTTGATACACTGTATAGGGATGACATTTGGAGATTTACATTTCAAGCACAGCAGCTTCTGTGTTTGTTGAAGGACAAAAAGACAGTGTGCTGGTTTTTAATACTAAAAAACGGTTTGAAGTAGAGTGCCACAGTATTTGGGGGGCACAAAAAGAGTAATTAATAATTGTGTAATGACTAATGAATGACTAATTACTTAGTGGCTGTGTAAGAGTTAATCGGAAACAACTTAAGAAGTGATGGTTCTTCTGTTTCACAGATACCTATGACCTAATCATTACCTACTGATTTGTTAACATAGTATCTCCCAGTCTATTATGTACTAACTCATTACCATCTATTAAGTAGATCTCAGTTCTGAATTATTCAGCAACTGCACATTAACAGTACATTAAGTGCCATTCTAAATTTGTTCCTCAGTAACTACTCATGTTTTTGTGTACCGTATTGTAAAATGTTGCTGAGTTCTGCTAAGTATTTTGCAAACTGGAAGAAACCATTCATCCTGTGGTAATTACAAACAGGATAACAGAAACTGAAACAGGAACTCTTTCATTAGGATTTGAGCCTTAATAACATGCTCACATTGCTGATTGTAATTTAAGACTAAAAAGCTGCAGTGCAGGGGAGTTGTCATCTGCAAGTGGGAGTGACAACCTCTCATGCTCATTTCTGCTTCCCTCATTAAACTGAAGCACAGTGTTGTTTTCTACTCCACTCAACTGGGTCGAATAACTTTAAACATTATGGAGGAAAAGGTGATTGTTGCAATCAACAAATTTCCAGTTCTTTACAAACTAAGTGAGTTTTAAAATAATGCACATGTATTGTTATATGCCAGTATAGAGGAGACATGAGAAATTAACTGCCAAATCAAAGTATACATCACAATTAGAGGTATTGTAATGTTAAGTAACAAAAACATCTTTACACCTTTGTCCATGCTGGCAAATCCTATTTTAAAATGGGAAGAAACATATGCAATATATGCCTTAAACTGAATGTAAATATACATAATCTAGATCCAGCTGCACAAATAATATTCATTCAGTCTTCTGCATTTTAAATCTCTCTGCATGATTATAAACTGGAACACTTTTAAAGAGACAGTACATTAGGATGGTGTCAGTCTTGAAGTTGTAATTGTGTATAAACCCTTTCACAAAACTCAACCAAACCTGTATTTCTGAAGCTACAATATTAGACTCAGACAAACAAGCTACTGATTTTCTTCCCTGTTCTTATGTGATTGCTACCATAAAGAACGCCACACATGTTTAGGCTGTTTGTAATTATTCAGATATACAGTATATAACAGTAACAGCTAGAATGTTAAAATGCTCTAATGTGTTTAGGCAACATACTGTAAGCTTGATGTTTGTGCTTTTGTAAACTTGAAACATTATAACTGGAAAACCATTTTCATTTAGAGCCTGATATCTATCATTGTAAAACTTTTAGAAACATAAGTGGAAAGTTCTTATAAGGGATCCAGTACTGGTTTAGAGATGAAATAGGCATTCTCATGTAATTGTTTCAGATCAACATATTATCAGCTATCAAACCTCTGCCTCCTCTTCCTAGCAGTATACTGTATGTACAGTATGCTTTTCACATGATATGACTGCATGTAACTCTATAGCTGGCGGGCTTGTTTCTATGGTTTTGTTGTTGTCAGTGCTTCTTTGAGTCACTCTTGCTGAGGACTAAAGCTGATATCATGTGACAGGTGTATACTTTCATAACTTTCCTCATTTCACACATATAATACAAACAACTGCATGACACCTTTTCATCATTTTCATCACCACTGAAGCCCTTTGTCTTCCCTGGGTTTCTTATCTATACTGTAGCATGGAGCTTAGACTGTAGTCAGGCATGGTTTGTATCTGCAGAAAAGCAAACAACACTGCATCACATGGCATACTGCCCTCTCTGTCATTCTTCTCTCTTATCTGTACTGTATGTGATACAGTCTCTGCTTGTTTTTCAACACTTTTTCAGCAGCTTTTACATATATTCTACACTGTATACACACAGTACCTGCTTCACAGGTGTTTGCCACAAACACAAATCTTGTGTTTGTGAAAAAACAAAATATGTTGCACAAATGCAATAGTGTAACCCTGTGGCATAGGGCCTACACTGATTAATTGCCATATGGTGTACCCCAATCTCTATGTGATGGTCAAGTCCCGTCCATGACCAGCACAAAAGTCTATCATCACAATGTTGTTAGGTTTCTGATGATCCAAGAGTCTTTGTGGTTTCCAATACGACTACCCTATATTTGCCATCACAAAAACTGCCACTCCTAAACATGCTGAAGGTGGGCCTATGTGATAACAACCCATCTTTATTGTTTTGGCTGAGCCCAGTTTGGCCCATTTGGTACAGGCACTTTGCCTTTGAGCTTGTCTGCAAGCTTTTTTTTTTTTTTGCTAATTTATTATTAATCACTGATAAGTGATGAAAGTCAGTTTTGAAACCCAGCACAGAGAATAAAATAAAACAAGAACAAAATAAATGTATGTGTTAACTTCTTTTCACCATCTATTCTATTACAAAATAAACATTTGATATTGGAAAATGAAAAACCCATCCAGGAGTGCTGCCAGAACTGTAATGCGACAACCAGTGCACATGGCAGCACAATATAAAAGCCAGGACAGGAAGGCCATAAAAGCAGCAGTTGATTGAAATATGACAAGAATCTCTCCTAGACTGTCTGGGGACGTGCAGAGTGTCGAAGGCAATGTCTCTAAAATAAACTGTCTGGAACAGGATATGTGAAGGATCCCAATAAAAGACCATATAATGTTAGGAAGAAAAATAGAGATGGGATGAGTGAAGTTTCAGTGCATAAAATAATTTAGAGGCAAATAGAAAAAAATAGAACAAAATGGCATTTTGATTCACTTAGCATTAGTAATTAAACACGTCTGAGGTACATTACCATAGAGGGAAGATCCAAGTCATTACATTCACATTACTCTGTGAAAGCTGTATGGCACTTAGCCATGTCCTGCTATTTCCCAAAGCCTTTTGTTGCCACATAATCAAGCAATGTACGCCTCAGAAGTATGAAATGCATAGACATCATCAGGAGTAATTAAAAACATATCAATAAACTTATTTATTTGCTCAAAGCCTTGATGAATCCTATTCTCAAATTTCAACAAAAGTTGAACAGCTGTACAGCAGGTTAAAATGTGGCCTTGGGTGGATGATGTGGGACATGCTCCATGAATTTTTAAAAATGTATTCTGTGACCTCCTAATGATTTTTTTTTAAACTTAAATTCATTGTCAAGATAAGCCAAACTCTGTCTGTGGATCCAATTTGGACAATTTTAGGCTTTTTGTTGTTATTGATGTGCTGAAACAATATATTTTCCAGAAATCAGTTATGTTTACTTATTTTATGTTGTCCGTTTCAGCTTTGAGGTAGACTGAGGCTATGGCTATGGCTGCACCATAATCAGATCACTGCAACTACATTTCTGCTTCATTAATGACAGTTTCCCAATAAAGAAGTGACCAAATGAGACAGCTACTGTAGGTGAATCCCAAGCTGCTTTGCCTGACCTGTAGTCAAGCTGCCCGACAGTAGGCATGCCAGGACGATAGAGGAAAAGCTCCACGCAACTGAGGTGGAGCCGATTCTTTTGAGTCTTTTGCCAACCACTGGCACTAAAATTCTTCAACATACTGTATGCTAGCATTTTTCACTTTACCAGAAATCAGTTACAAGAATAAATACAGTACAAACGTACTGGACTTGCATGGCAGAACTATAACAGTAAACCTTTTGTCTACTTAAAAAACACACACAAGGTTTGTTTTTATATTATTCAGTGAACTTTTATTTAAGTATGTGGGAGCTAGTTGAGGGCATATCTCACCTCATTGCTTCCAAATATAATCATTTGATAAAATGATGATGATCACTTAATAAAATGCTAGAGTCTTGACTGTAGGATACTACAGTCAAGATTCTAGAATACAGGGCGCATTTGTCTGTGCTGGTTTTCAGGCTGACCCAGGAGCCACAACTCTGCTCTCAACTATTGATTTCCCAGACTGGTAGTCACGGGTTTGCATTACTAAGGAAGGCCTTGTGTGCCTCTGGAGATACAACACTGGCCATACTGCATTATTTAAACCTGCAGCACAGGTCAAGTGAGCAGGTCCCCAGATCTCTTAGCCCCCTGAGCCTCATGTTGCCTGACCCGAGAGCGGTGATACCAGGAAAAGTCAGCCATGTCTTCCCTGAAAGGTCAACAGCAGCGTGTCAGCTTAGAAGCAGCAGTTACACTCAATCAAGCTGAATTTAACAACTAGCCACTATCAGGCAATACTGTATGTCATGTTTTATAGTTATGCCATTTTTGTTCTTGTACTATATACTACATTAAACCTTGCTGCAAATAAAATACATGACAATAGAAATAGAAAATATGACTATTGGTGGTTTATCTTAAAGATGATTGTAGTCAGAGCTGCTGTATCAGTTATCCTCTGACCTGGAGGGAGTTGAAAACTCTTAATGGCTAATTAACCCTGTGTCATCTGAGTAAAACACTATTAAACATAAATCAATTGCTTTTGTGCTTGGTTACCCCCATCAATGGTCCGTGTAAATATTGACACCCAGGAAAGAACGGTGGTGCAGGACTAGGCAGCTTAGTGACCCAGGTATAGGAAGCATATGCATGTGGGAATGCAGTCGAGCTGATAGGTATAATTATAGCATGTCCCAGTTTAATTATGTTTAAACAATGGACTACTTTGTCACTTGTCTCACTTACAAGTGGAGTACACAGGTTTTGGGGATTTGTCTAAAGAAAAGGCAAACAAGGCACTCTATGGATTTTGTAGAGAGAGACTGTTGTGTGTGCCACTGTGCACTGCTTTGACAGCATCTGTATTCTGACAGAGCCTCCTCTCTCAATCTAGATCTAACTGCCTGCAGCCTGCCACACAGGAGCTGGAGGGGGGAGCTGAGAAGAATACTTACAAGCCTCTACCACTGTGCCTGAACCAGACACCCAGACATACACACATACACATTCACGGTAGATCCATGCCAAGTCAAGCATTGTGGTGTACCAGGAGGAGCCTTGGGATTCCAACAGCCAAATGTGTCCTCTAGTATTATTGGCTGCTTCAGCTGAGTGAAGGGGGAAAACACCTTGAAGAATCATACATCTGAACAGCCCCCTTGGCTCCGTCTAGGGACAAACTGATTGACATTCTTAAAAACCTTGCTAAACATCCCTGCCCTCTAATACCAAGCACACACACTCAGATCAACTGCATATCCTTGGTCCTGCTCTTGATTATACAGCTTTAACAACACACAGAAGCCTATAGCTGATTATAGCAGTAAATCCTTGTGTAGTGGGAAGAAAATGTTGCATTTCACTGAGCCCCACCCCCTCCAAAATGGGATTTAAAAATAAAACATAATTAGCATAATAGGTTTCAGAAATGTCACAAATATTTCTCTCTCTTCCCATTGCTATCTCAGATTATGCTTGCCAGGCCTCTGGAAAGCATCCAGTGCTCAGTACTGAGATTGGTTCAGTGAAAATCAGGCTGAGCATGCAGTGGCCCATATCCAAAGATCATCATGGGTGCTGAAATTATGAACTCCTCAAGCAAAGGATTTGAACTGCAAAAATGGAAAAAGAAAAAAAAAAAAATTCTGGGCATTGGCTGCTGCTCTGGCTCCGCAACAAGAATAAGGGCATGAATTGATATCTGTCTGTTGAGGGGTGTAATTTACTTTCAGGGGCTGTCATATGTCAGCTTTAAAGCAGGTGTATCACACCAAACCAAACAAAATAAAAGTCCATCTTTAAGAAAATCTTATTTTGAAATGGCAGCTGCAGTTCCACAGACTGCTCAGAATCAGTTTTTACATGAATGCCAGATGTCATAGCTGATGCTGTTACTGTGTTTGCATGGACTGCAGTTAAACTGTGAACTCAAGTTTGATAGCAAATTAGTGACTAAAGAATTGTAAGCTATGAAAAACAAATGCTTTCATATTAGAATATTATTTTAAGTGTGTGAAAGACATTTTCTTTAATACATTCATCTGTACAGATATGGACTGAAGATTGAGTCTAGTCTAAACCACTCTGTCTTCAGTTATTAGTATAAGGGTCTTAACTTGCACTTGCCCATGTAACATATTAGTCTGTGGTTGTTAAACCTTGAGAGATTCTTTAGTCACAAAAAAAGGTTACACTCAAGCATCTGAATGTCTTATAAGCACTCAGATTGAACTATGTGTGCACAACTTTCTATTTAGTCACAAAATATTATGCATAACAAGAAATCTTACATTTAAGATGAACAACCTTTACACAGTCAAACAGTTCAGTTCAGTTTCAGGAAAGATTTTACACATTTATTTATGCAAGTGTTTTCTACAAGTTTTAAAACAGTTTTAAAACAATAATTATAATATAAAGCTTTTGTTATATAAAATATAATATAAAAAGCCTAATTTAGACTGCAGATTGAAACAGAACCGATTATACAGTATAACAGATTAAACTGAAGATATTCCATGATTTCAGAGTGATTTCAAGCATCACTGTAGTGTTTGCTTTTTTGTGCAATATTCATGTACAGTATGAATTCTGTTAGATCTCTGCTTCTTGATTTTTCATAGTCAACACATGTCTGATACATGAATGAGCTGGAGAAGTAGGGCTTATCTTTCAATAAAACAGCAAGAGAGAGGAGTAAATGCTACCTCTCTTGCCACCAGTATCTGAAAGACAAGGGGCTTCAGTTGTAACCTGGTGCCTTCAGCTCTATTGATATCAGCACAGCAGCTGCTGCAGCCCTGCACTCGCTGTTGTTGTTGGTGACTGGAATGGACACGTGTGCTGTGTTGAAGGGCCGTAAACAAGATTTTCAGCATAGCAGTGGCCAGGCCAGGCTGCCAGCAGCGTCTTATCTGATCCCAAACCAGAGAGAGGCAACTGGACAGACCAGGGAAGGTCTGTTAGAGCCATAGATAAGGAGATGCCAAAGGGAAGAGAAAACGAGAAACAGACAGGTCCCAAAATGAACATTTTCACACCTAATACTGCACCTGTCTGTTGGATATTTGCTGCCTTGTACTCTTTTCTGCTTCAGGTTTCTGTCACTCTGCATTTTTCGTTTGGTTTTCAGTTTCTCTACACAGAATGCCCATTTCCTTTATACTGTATAATTCAAAACTCACAGTACCCACAGGCATGCATTTATGATTTGACAGTCTTTTTCACTGTGTCTGGTTTGTATACATGACAATAAAGATGTTTTATTCAGATATACCTTTGTAAGTCAGTATGTTTACATACATGGCTTATGGCTGTTTGACCTGTGTTTGACCATAGTCATTATGTGGTGTGAGAGCTACTTACCTTGTCCTTTCCTTGTTTCTCATCTTGATATACATTCCACCGCTCGCCATCATTACTGTAAGCAACTTTGTATGAGCCAACAAATTGGACATGGCCAAAGTCTTTAGCTCCCTGGGTGATGATACCTGTGACCTTGGACGGCACAAGCAAGTCCACCTGAGTGAGACATAGTCCAAAGAGAGAGAGGGAAACACAGAGGAAGACAGCAGAATGATAAATTTCTTTACTTAATAAACTTAACTAGTGAAAAGAGTCAGAGTCCAAAATAGTCAGCATCTTTGTTTTCTCTTTTGATGATATCAGAGGATTTACTGAAATACACTTGATACAAGATGTCAGTTTCAGTTATTCACAGAATACTTAACAACACCGCTAAGTCCACAACCTCGCCTCAGCAAAACAAAAATCACACGCTGCAGCAGCTTCTGAGACCCAGATGGCTCAATTTGGGTTAATTTTTAATAGGTTCTCATTTGTTGCAAGCAATTTACAGCGCACGGGTGCTAGGCAGGGAGCACATAAACTTATATTGACGTCTTAGTAAAGCTGAACCCCAAAATGCATTACAAGTATAGCTCCACTGTATTTACCTACTGCAGCTCACTTTGCTTTAGAAGATTAAGTCTAAAAGAGGTCAAGATTTCTTCTTAGTAAGAGTTTTCCACTGTGTTAATTATATCAAATGAATAATGTATGTGTACAATCTAAAGCAGAAATTAAGAGAAAGGTGTTGCCTACTAACATGGGCAATGCAGTGCAGTGCAAAAATACAGTCCTTATTGTAATGGAAAATCAAGGGTAGTTTTATAAAATAAATTCCTCTCCCACTGCTCTTTCATAAGCACAAAGCAGCAGGTGTTGTGTAATGTTCATTATTCATAATGGAAACTGTGCAGACATACCTTTATATTTCTGTAGCATATGAAACAAAATGTCTGCTGTTGTTTTATACACAATAACAAACCTTGATTACTTCTAAATATCAAAACAAGGACAAATAAATGCCATAGAATTTCCATAACTTCCCATGTGATTCATTGTATCTTGTTTTATAATAAGACCATAAAAAGAATTGATAGCATTACCATTTCTAAGTCCTTAAAATGCTAATAGTGTAAATGTCAGTATAAAACCATCTCACTTATCATATACATCTATGCGGCACCAATTCGCAGTCAACACAGGATGAAAAACAAGGTGCGACTTGGCATTTTGCTGTCACATGGGAAGATAGTGGCAATATTTAGAAGCACAGAGAGAGCAAGAGAGAGACAAGCATACAGATTTATATCTTCTGTTCACTATACACAAGATTGAGGCCACCATACATCAAAGTAATTGGTCTGGTCATAGGCCAACATACTGTGTCACACTGCTCTGACAAAACAAAATAGGGCCCCGTGTAGATGAAGGAAATAAGCAAACAAACTGAAGTAATGAATGAGGTATGGCTCGGTTTCATTACATCTTATGGTTTTGACACCTTGCAAAAACACCACAGCCCACCTCAGCACATCGTGCCACACTTTCATTGCCTAAAATATGTTACAAACGCTGAAACAAATCTATTTTTTGAGCAGCGATTTGAATAAGCTCACTCAGGTTTTTCATCTCTCATAAGGTTTGAACACTGCTCGAGAGCTTCTCTTTCCTCCCAGCTACTTTAAGATTAAGGCGTGCTCCCTGGGTATTAGACAGACCTTCTTAAATGCAGACCTCCTGCTGTGTACATAAGCAGGCATAAATCTGGGTCCTGACACACATGTAGACAAAGCCATGCCTTAACCACTACAAAGCAAACTCTTGGCTCTTTAAAAGGCATCCAAGTGGATAAACTCCCAGCTCAGATGTTAAGCTAATGAAAGCAGGACAAAAAGCCGCTGAAGATTGTGTGCAGACACAATGTAATTACTAACAATAGTGTAGTTTGCAGGTATGTAATTATGCAGATGCTGCACGCTGTACTGTATCTACACTATTCATGAAGCTTCTCCTTCAAATGGAAGCTGTCTCTGCTTCCCTTTGTGTGGAAAGTAGCACAGATTTCTGTTTGTGAAAATGTTTAAATGAATACCTTTTATAATGGCAATTATGACACAACAACCTATATGATAAAGGGAACAGAAAGGAACAGTGGTGAGAGCTACTTGGTTGATTTAAAGGGGCATGACACCTTGCATTGTGAGGCTTTGATTATGCTCTGGCTTTAGGACGTTGAGATAATCTTGTTCTACTGAAGCACTCAAGTCTGCCACCAAAACAAAGGCACACTTGAAGGGGAACCTGTAATTGCTGTCGCAGGTAGCGGTAAAAAAATACGACTGCCCCTAGTGACAATAGCTCTCAACACTTTGATGGGCCAAACTGAATTAGGGAGCAAGATAAGCTTGTTAAAGCAAGGCCTCTCTTCCAGTCCCCACCTTCTGTTCTGTTTTCCATCGCACTCTCAACCCCATTCCCTCCTCTGTGAGCTGCTAACTCTGAAAAATTAGGAGTCTTTGTAGCAATCTTTGAATGCTAGTGGCATAGGTGTTTTTGAGAATCAATTTTAGGGTGTTTCTCACTGTGTCTGAGATGATCTAATCTAAACTCCCAGTTTTCCCAACAATACAGCCGCATATCGAAATCTGAGACGGGGTCAATTATCTATTTGTATTTCTCTTTGGTGGTAGTGTGTGAAGGGCCAATGCTTGTGCACTTCTACCAGGCAAACACTAATCTCCCCTGCTCATTAAGATGAGAGCTGGTGTGCAAATCTCATGTCCCTATTTGAAGTGACTTTGCAATCCCAGGATAAAGTGATTAATGCAGTGAGAGGCAGCTTTATAAGAAGATGAATGAGACCCAGTTTGCTATTTTATGAGTACAGCACATGCATACACACTGTAGCACCCTGCTGACATTCTCCCTTCAGCTGTGCTAATTTAACTGTATGTGTTGAAGACTCATTTATTCTTCACAGCCTGCGGGAAACACGAGTGTGTGTGATGCACATGTAGATATTCTCCTAAATCAGAGAATTCAGAATTACGTGCACACAACTTATGTCACGAGGAGCATAACGATATGGCCCATCACCCCAACAACACGGCAGCTATCATTAAAGCTTAAAGTTGGTGTGAGAGCATGAAAACATCTTGTTTGACTGCTCTTCTCTCCCCTGGAAGCCGTGAAAAACTTAGAGAAAGTCATTTTCTTTATCATACACTGAAATGCCACAATGTGCTAGAAACAACGTTACTATGTAAAGTTCATTTGCTATTGCTATTGATATGTTACAGTGGTTATGATGCTAAAGAGCAGAAGGTCTGCTTAAGGCTCCTAAGATGAAAACAAGTTGACATGGTAAGTTTTAACATAAATTCTGGATTAAAAACTAGGTGTGGAGTTTGAAAGAAGTGGGGTCTTAGGAAAGGTGCATTACAGGACACGCAGGATCCAGCATTTCTGGAGCTTCACCCACACTAGAGATCAGCAGTCAAAATACCTCAGCCTCAGCTGCTTCAGTTTTGACATCTCTCTTTTGAATCTATCTCCTCTGTGGAAGTGAAAATTATTGCAAAATTTATGTTACTCACACACAATCACTGTCACTGGCTGACATGGAGAGAAAAGTTAGAACCATCACAGCTATTCAGTTTGTTTTGACTGATTCTGAGCTCCATTTGTGTGAATTTTAAAATATGATGTCAGATCTTCCTGCTATCTGTGCATAGTATTACATGTCACAAAATAAAACACACCATTCTCTGCTGTTACAACCCTACCTTGTCCAGCAAAGCCCATTAACCCAAAAAGTAAATCCCAAATGACTAGAGGAAACAAGAGGAATGAGGCTGAAGCCAGCCAGTTTCCAGACAAATGGTTGATGGAGTGCAGCACTTCTCTGCCTGTTTGCGTCCTGACACCTTTCTGAGGTAAAATGTGCTGTACCACACAGAGAACAGCACGTTTGAAAAGATGAACCAGGCGTCTGAGTCTCATTGAGCTTGAAATGTTATCTGAAAAGTACTGAATTGCTTTGTCTGTGTGAAAGCACGCTGTCCCCAGTCCCATGACTGAAGTGAAAATAAACAGATATAAAATGCAGTTCAACACATATATAGAAGTACTCAGCAATCACACTGTTTTAAATAATTAGACTGGAACTTCTATTAAAACATTTAGTTTGCTTTGATCAATTACTGTAACAAGCAAACATCCTCTAGACCTTCATGAACTCTAATAACTTATTAAAAAAGAAAGTCTTAGGTGCTGATTATAAATAGCTGCAGGTCAAAATAAAATAAAAAATCAAAGCGGGAAAAAGTTTTTTAAGAGCTATGAGTCTGCTCATTTCAATATTGTGACAATGTACGCATTTAAACCTTCAGGCAGCCTAGAACATGAGGCAGTACTCAGCATGTTTGGTGACACCCAGGAAACTATTTTAAGATAATAATCCACAAATGAATCCACACATCCTACCTGTTAGATAAAGATCTTTTCTACATAATTATAAAAAACCAAAAAGTAAAAAACTCAAAACAAAACAGATGTGTCTAATTAAAACATTGCACAAGGTTTGTGTGTTCCTCAGGTTAATTACATGGAATGAGCAGAAACTGTACCCTGTTAGGAAACTTCTAACTTGATTTTAGGTTAACATGATAGTTTGATTAAATATTGTTGTAGTCACCTTGGATGATATCACTTTATCATACAATTTAACTACACAGCCTAAACGTCAGCATACAGTGCATGCAGCATCTTTATATCTACAGTCACTATTTGGAACCTGGTTTAAGTTACACTTCTGTTTATGATATTGCTACATTGTGACTCATTCTCTCTGGCACTTCCATGCACAAACTCTCTATCAACCTAAATCTTTTATTGTTTGGTAGTTTTTTCTTCTACAGTTTTGTTTATCAGGTGTTACTGTCACTATCTACCTCACTCATGGTGTTGTGTGCATGTCAAACTCTACATGTGAAAAGTATCACACGGTCATATTATCTAACATTATTGTTAAGCCCTCTTTTTTTGGCCTCTGGGTCTTAAGTGGCAGACATGCTGCAAACACACACCACACACACTCCTTCCTCAATCGCCTTTCTGATACGTTTCAACGTGGGGTGGCAGGATGCCCGGAAGGTGTAAATGCCTACTGAGTG